ACACACACACACACACACACACACACACACACAGGGAAAATACATATACATAAAATAAAAAATACACATACAGGGAAAATATATTCTCTCTCTATATATATATATGTATATATATACCTATACATATGTATATATACATATATATACATATACATATGTATATATACATATATACATATACATACATGTATGTATATACATATGCATATACATACATACATGCATGTATATACATCTATACATATATGTATATGTACATGCATGTATGTATATATGTATATATGTATATATATATACATATATACATGCACATATATACATATATATGCATGTATATATATATACATATTTATATGTCTGAAGAGGAAAGATGGAGTTCCTGTTAGAAACCAAAAAGTCTCCTGACCCAGCAAATAGATTATTCCATTTTAAATTAATTAGTGTTACAGTTATTCAACAAGAATACGGTTTTGCTGGTCTTCCAGAATCCATGTGCCTGGGTTTATTTCTTCTGTGTTATCTACTGCTGAGTATAAATAATCATAATATTGTAAAGCCATATGGGCATGTTTCACCAAACACTGTTGTATTGACCTAGGGTTTTCTTGTTCTTGTTGTAAACTGAAAGGAGGCAGACTTTATCTTCTAAATCCTAAGTACCTGAAATGGTTTATAGAAGATCAGGATATGGTAGTCGGGGATGCTTTGGCTTAAGCATTCCAGGAACAGTGTTTTCCCAGTAAGAAAGAGAATAAAGCCATTGGGGAGATCAGTAGAGCAAAACGTTCGTTTCCTAGAATGTGCATTTATCATAACGATGACTCATTAATGGACTGCCACAGTGAGATGAGTTATATTATCCCAAAACTATTCCTTGGAAAGTTGGGGCGGGAAGTAGCCCATCTTTTCCTAACTCCCCCACCAAAAAATATTAGCTCCTTTTTGTTTGCTTGAAGCTGCAGTAATTCTGCAAAGCTAAGTAGTAAAACTGGCAGACTTCCATTCCTCCTTAGCTTTTGCAAGCAGAATTGCTTTCTCCCTTGTAACTCATTTTAGAATATGGAACAGCAAATTTCCCTAAAGAGGCTGTAAGGGCCCAGCCAGTCTCTTTGGTCTGTTACCTTCATGGTCCGTTGCTCTTTTCCTGGAGCAGCTGGGCTTGGGAATTCTTGTTTAAAACTCCTATCATATCAGAATGGAAATGATGTTTTACCAGATGCCTGGTTAACTTTCTTTTCAGTAGTTTGAAAGCAGGGAAAAGTATGAATGGGTAAAGGCAAGGCCCAGCAGCCTCCCAGAGGCGCACAGCACACGGCCCTTCCCTTGCTGCTAGGGACTTGACAGATGAGGCAAAGGAGACTTCTTTTTTTCAAAAGAATATGCATGGAAGCTATGGTTAATAAATCGAATGCTCTTCAGAGCAGCGGGTCCTAAGCCCTTTTACGTTGTGATGAGTTTGGCAATGCGGTATGATTTGTGAGGGATCTGTGTGAAGTCACGCTCATCCAGAAACAAACCCTCAGACAAGGATTCATAAGTAAGTGATTTATTAATGAAGTGATTCCAGGAGAAACCAGTACAGGAGTAAGGGAAGCAGAGTAAATGGGAAGAACCTAAGCAATGTGCTTTCTCAGACGAGGTCTGAATTTGAGATCTCCGCTTGATCCGTCAAGGGATTCTGGAGCTATAAGATGTGTCTCTTGAGTTTTTCCATTTTGAGGAGCTGGACCATCGCACTCCTTTACCAATTCGTCAATGACTCTGAATTCCCTTGGATAGGGTTTCCAGATTTAACAAACAAAGATACAAAGTATGCCCCATGCAATATCATTTTCATTCATATACTCTATAAATATTAGTATATTTTTGTACTAAAAATGATTCGTTGTTTACCTGAAATTCAAATGTAACTGAAAGTTCTGCATTTTGTTTGACACCTCTCCAACGGGGGTCTGGGAAGACCCACTCCAAAGCATGTCTAGGCCCCTTGCTCCAGTGCTAAAGGGCAGATCTCTGAAGGCCATGGGTGCAGGCCATTAACAGGC